GAGAAAAGCCGTCCTTGAGGCCCACAGGATCGCAAAGCTTGTGGAAAAAATGGGGAGGATTAGTTGTAGGATCACTTCCGGCTACTATCTAATTTTATCTGTGTGTCACTGATACCGAACGTCATTCTTTTTATTATGAGAACCCCTCGACAACCAGGGCTAAAAATAAAAAGCAAGAGCTTGTAGCTGGCACAAACTGTGCTACATGGACTCCAATTTGTATAGCAGGAACTATAATCACTCTGAGACGTGCCCAAGCCCTCGGGCATCCCACGGGATTTCAGTCACTTGTTTACAAGGTGTTTGGATTTGCAGCTGTTTGACTACAGTGGCATTTCAGGAGGGGGCGTTTTGAAAGGATGTTGTTACTGTGGATGCCGGGATTGGGAAATGGGTATTGAAAAATCACACAAAAAACAGGCGAGTGCTGTCTTTGTTCTTCCCCCCTTACATATGAATGACGTCAGTGCAGGGGAAAGGAGCTCCAGAACAGATCCAGAGACCAATGCTCTGGAAGGAGCAAGCAGGGTGCAGGTAAATCCCTGAAAACAGAGCTGTGCCCTAACCACACCAGAGTGCCCTACATCTGATCTAAGGGGACTAAGTTCTGGAGGTAAGAAGGGAAGCATCCAGGCCCATTGCTTTTCCACCTTTTCTAACAAGATTATAACACCTAAGAACTAGGCTAAAGGCCACTTCAAACAGACCAGCAGCTGAAATGGATTTAGTCACTGGCTCAAAGTGATTTAGCACTTCAGATGGCTCTTTCCATAATTCCCGCTCTCCTGACCTGAACAGTTCCTCTTTCAGAACTGCATTAAGCTAATGCCCACTTTCTTCTGGCCCTGTTGGGATAATGGATTCAAATATGCAGAAAGAATGTAAAAATCCATCTGTTATCTGGGATGAGTGATTTGCACAATGGTGCCCATGAGTGTTTGTTTAACACTGCGGACAGCAGAACACTGCTAAGTGGTAACACGCTGAGAAAGGGAAAGAAGGGAGGAGAAAGTAGCCTGGCTGTTTAAAAGCTATGTCCACCAATCTGTCTGCATTTTTTTGGCTTAGTTAGCTGTTTGCCTGTTTTTTGTGGGAAACCAGGAAGGACACGTGGAGCTTTTCCCAGGCTTTAGTGTTATTCTCTTGTTTCCAGCCTTGGATTTTGTATGCGTTAATTACAGCAACTCACGTAGAAAATCTAGTGCCAAGAGGATATTTACCTTGCAAACATTTCATCTGCTGCCCCCCTCTGCCCTTCTGTGACTTTTTCGAGTGATGACTGACTAGAGGCGCCGCGTTGCACTTGAAGAAGCCTCACCCTTGCCAACCTCAGACACCAGCCCTTTGCCTGCTCAGTGTGTGCCAGAAACCTGGCTGCACTTTCTTGGCAGTGAGCAGCCATCTCCTCACTTCCTGAAGGTGAAGGAGGGCTCAGCCTAGAATATAAAGCATAAAATGGGAAAGAATCAGTTCGATTATACCATGACAAATTGTTGTTTTTCTAGGGAGATAAAAACCCACCCTATGTTTGATTCTGAGTGACATTGATCAGTTTGGCACCAGCAACTTCTCTGCTGGAGTCACGAGTGACTACTCTTTAAGCAAGTACCAGAATTATCTAGGTTGGCATTACAGTTCATCACACTCCTTGCTTTCTTTAGGCAAAGTTGAAGGGAAAATCTGCATTTGCACTGCACATGCCATCAAAGATCTCAAAGAACATGACTTATCCTAGCCCACATGCCAAATCTGAATCGGAGCCAGGGTCAGAAATTCTCACTCTCTCTCATTCCTCCAGCCAGGATAACTTTTCCTCAAGGTCAGCTATGACTGTTGCCATCAGAGGCATGCAACACTGTCAGCACCTTGCCACACATACCAGTTTCAAACTCCCTGGGTTTTACCCATAGCTGCTGAGAACTGTCTACAGAAGAGGCTGCTAAAAAGAAAGTTGAAGACTGTTGAAGTCTATTCTAATCCACAGTGTCTATATTTAATGCAGCCCATGTCACAGCAGAACAGAGAAAATGTCACTGGAACAGTTTTCTTTTTGCCAACAGGCAAGAGGTTTAAAAAGAGGCAGTAACCTCTATTTGATGATGTGTTTCTACAAATGTTTAACTTGCTATTGCATTTAGAAATCATCTTTAATGTTGATTTATATTCCTGGCAGTGAAGTCAGGAGGTTGGCAATCCCACTCCTTTTCAGTCTGTGCTCTGACTGAGGCAATAATGCAGATCAAAGAGAAGGAGTCTTACAGCACTCACATTTTATCATCTCAAATGTTTTCAAGTTCTCACTCTGATATTCATGGGCAGATTATGTAACTACTAGATTTAAAGTTCTGAAGGCCACATAGTAAACACTGAAATGTTGTATCATTAAGAGGAGGTATTTGGAAATAATTGAATTGAATAAAAGAACAACATATCAAGTAAACACTTGACACAAGCAGCAATGTTTTCCTGGAGATGTCGTTTTGCTCCAGTCTTTTATAGGGTCAGCCTCTTGTTTTCATGCCATAGAATATAAAATTAACTGCATTTTATTATACATTCTAAGTCTTGTTTTTCATCTAAATATGTCAAGCAGACATTTTTATTGCCTTAGTAATTGCTAAATATTCAAGGACTTGAATTCCATGAATAACAGTTTACCTAACTGATGGAAGCAGAGTAAGCCACAGACCTTCTGTGGATTTTTCAGAAGGTAATATATTACAGTTCATTATCTAATGGGTCAGAAAAATATGAAGACTTGCTTTGGTGTCTGCATTGAGCCTCCCTGCCCATGGCTTTTGTACAGTATCTCTTGAACACTGACAGATTTAGTTGCCTAATGATTTGGGGACTATGACAGGATAGCAGCACTCTCTTTTTAAAAAAAAGAGAACAAAGGCAGGCAGAGGTTAGCAGAACATAGCATCACTGGGGTTTGAAGAGACCTTTAAGCCTATCTCATCAACCCAGCACGATCACTGCAACCCCTGAATCACTAAATCATCCCTCTGCACCACATCCAGATACCTCTTAAACACCTCCAGGGAGGGTGACTCCATCATCTCCCTGGGAAACCTATTCCAATGCCTAAAATGCACTGAAGGATGAGAGAACAGACTGAGAGCAGCCCTGAGGAGAAGGACTTGGGGGTCTCAATTGATGAGAAGCACAACATGACACAGCCATGTGCAGATTGGTTTGGGCTCTGAGCAACCTGGTCTAGGGGGAGATGTCCCTGCCCATGGTAGGGAGTCGGGACAAGGTGATCTTTAAAGTCCCTTCCAAGCTCTGTATAATTGCACACAGTGGGACAGAACCCTAATGTGCTGCCAGCCAGAGGGCACAGACTGCTGGGCATGTCCCGCTGGACATGTCCCCTCTGCACTGGCCCTGCTGCCGTGAGCCACTGCCACACACACAGACAGGCTGCCAGCACGTGCCAGGATAGGCCTGCATGGGGAGATCACAGAATCACAGAATTGTCTGGGTTTGAAGGAGCCTCTGGAGACCATTTAGTCCAACCCCTGCCAAGGCAGGGTCACTTAGAGCAGATCACTCAGGAAGTCCAGGTGGATTTTCAATGTCTCCAGACAGGGAGCCTCCACAACATCCCTGCGCAGCCTGTTCCAGTCCTCTGACACTCAATGCAAGGAAATTCTTCCTCATGTTGAGGTGGAACTTTTGTGGGCACTGCACCTTGTCCTGTCACGGGGCATCATCCTCTTGGCACCCACCTCTGAGATATTTACATGCACTAGTGAGATCCCCTCTCACTTTTCCCTTCCCTAGAGTAAACAGGCCCAGCTCCCACAACCTTTATCCATGAGAGAGATGCTCCAGTCCCTTAATCATCTCTGTTGCCCCCCACTAGGTACTGTCCAACAGCTCCAAGTCCCTTTGCACTGAGGAGCCCAGAACTGGACACAGCACTCCAGGTGTGGCCTCACCAGGGCTGAGCAGAGAGGCAGGGAACCTCCCTCGACCCGCTGCCCACAGGTTGTGCTGGGCGCACAACACCAGGATACCCCCGGCCCTCCCGGCCGCCACAACACCCTGGGTGTCCCAGGCCCGGCTCCCCGGCGCTGGCACGGGCAGGGCAGCGCCGCCGGCCCC